GTCGCATGGCGACAGGAATCAGGCATGGCAACAAGCCCTGTCGTTTGGCGATAGTCTTGTCGTTTTGCGACAATTAAAAGATAAACCGTACTTTTAGTACGGAATCCTTTTCTTAATATAATTAAGCAATTAAAACTCCGTTTAATCAATTTTAAATTAGATTTTATCAAAATAAAATACTTGTTTTTATTTCAAACCAAATTCATTATTTTTCTAAAATATTAATTATCAATACTAATGCTATTAGAACTCAAAATAACCTTCTAGAATATTCTAGAAGTTTAGAATTAATCCTAATATTTTTAGGAATAATAATTAATAGGCCCTCCACTAGATCATTGGGCCATAAAACCATTTCAAACCCAAATCATTTATTAGACCATAAACTCCTTATTATTCATTGGAATTGAGCTTATAATATGTCTTTGGAAACCTCTTTACGATCCCAACCCAACTACACTATTAATGGGCCCTTATCATCGACCAAGCTAAATTGGACTGGCTATTTTCATAAAATAGAGTTCTTTTCAAAAACAGAAAGAAAGATTTTTATCAAAACAAACACATCACAAGACTTTTCACACTTTCACCTCATTCGATAATCAAGCGACGTGAAAGGTATTCATCACTGGGTTTGGTTTTTAGGGAGAAACAATTGGGTATCTACAGCCATAAAACCATTTTAGACCCAATTTAGTATTTTGGCCATAACTTCCTCATTACTCATAGGAAATGGGCTTATAATATATCATTGGAAAGCTCTTTACAAGCTCGACCTAACTACACTATTATTGACCCTTGTCATGGACCAACCTAAATTGGACTGAGTATTTCATAAATAGAGAAGATTTTCGAAAGAAGAAAGAAAGATGTTATTAAAACGTCCGCATCAAAAGACTCTTCACACTTTCACGTCATTCGATAATCAAGTGACGTGAAAAGTATTCATAACTGGGTTTGGTTTTTGGGGAGACACATTTAGGTGTCTACACATCCAAATAAGGAATCGTAATCAAGAGGAATTTAGCATAATCATATAAGAAAAGGCTCACAACTAGACTCCATCTCTCAATGCAAGCATAGAAGTGAATACATGAGCAATAAGTGGCCATCCAATTACACATGCAATTTAACAATCAATCAACAACCCTAAATGAACATGCAAGCACAAACATCAATCAACCCATGGCTTGGTTGGGTCTTCACCCAACCTCTAGCATTAAATACTCACTAAACATGTTGAAGAACATAATAACAATAAATTCTAATTCTATCATTAAATTAACATGTTGAGAAAAGTAGTGAGAGTAAGGTAGATTGAACATGCGACAACAATTAAGAACAAGATATAGAAGAAAGAGATTACTAATGAAGCTTCAAAGTTGAGAAAGTGTTTAATTCAAGAGAATAATCTTCAATTAACAATTACAATGATTGAGTTTGAGAAGATCTAAGCTAATTAATGAGAGTTTAGAGATACTAAGGGCCTAAGAAGACTAAAGGGAAGAAGATCTGTACAAATGAGCCCCCAAAAACTATTTGCAACTCCAAATTACATAGTAAACTCTGCAATAGAAAGCTCATAGGACCTATCGGGCGCGACCTCTCCACGCCTGGAGAGGCCGCTCCTAAGGACTGGAGAGGCCGCTCCATGCCTTGGAAAGGCTGCTCCAAATTGGGAGAAATTGGGGCAGAATGTTCCGTAGCAGGATGGAGAGGGCTCTCCAAAAAGGTGGAGAGGTCGGTCCTTAGGTAGAGAGGCCACACACCTATATATGTTGGAGAGGCCTCTCCGCATTTCTTCTTTCAAATCTGCCAAGGGAGGCAGGATGTTCAGCATTGAGGTGGAGAGGGCTCTCCAAATAGGTGGAGAGGTCGCTCTAGTTGGAGAGGCAGCACCAATGTTGGAGAGGCCTCTCCCCACAAAATTCCTACATTCTGCCAAGGAGACAGTAGCTACAACAGCGAGGTGGAGAGGCCTCTCCACTAACTTTGAAAGGCCAGAGGCAGCGCCACTCTGTGGAGAGGCCCCTCCACTACAGCTCTCTCCTTTATCTTGACTTAGCTCCCTTGCCTTGGCTTCTTGCCATCATCTTCTTGCTTTCAACATTGGTTCATCATCCATAGGCTTCAATTGGTCGTCTTTAGGCCTAAAAACTCAACAAAAACACTAACAACTCGTGAAGCATAGAATACACAAAAAATGCATAAAAATAGAGTGAATAATGAACTAAGGTATCAATTCCTCACATATTCAACGTTAAAAACCACTTTATAATCATACAAAATAGCATGCTATTAGAAAGTTCAAAAAATTATCTCAATAAATAAGACAACTTTATAAATAGCGGCCTGTTCTTTTCAAATAATTTTAATTTCACTTCAGTTAAGTTCATAATTTCTTTCTCTCATAAAATATTTAGTTCAATTCCGTTTACTTTAGTCAGTTTAGTTCAGCTCCAATCAGTTCATTTTAGTTCAGTCAGCTCATTTCAGTAAATCAGATCAGGCTCTAAGAAGGTTTGATGTACTATTATTAATCATAGACAATAGTGTTTGAATCTCAAGGTGCAAGATATTATTTTAGCTCAATTTGTAATTTAATACAATATCAAACATTATAGGCAATCTATTTTATTTATACAAAGTAGGTTTTTTAAAAGGGTGAGACGGCTTTGATAATGTAAGGCCATTTACCAAACGTGACCATAAAGTAGAGAGAAAAAAATGTCTAATCATTTTTTATAATATGAAACAGAGGTAGGAAAAGAATTTCAAAGAGAATTTCATCGAAGGTTTTTTAGTGGTGGAAACTTTTTTTTTCTATAAATTTAATTGTTATGATGCATAGTCGAAGTTATAAATTCTCAAACAAGCATATTAAAAAGCTATGCAAAAAAGATAATGAAACAAAAAAAAAAGGAGGCATATCAATTAAAGGAGGCATAGAGACTAAGTAAGTAAAAAGAAAGAAGAAAAACCCAAATTACGTAGTATATCTTTACATTTCAAATTCTACCTCTGTTAACTTTTAATTGCAATATTGGAATATTTTATGCCTCACAAATAATAGCCCAAAGTTGCAACTAAAAGCTAACGGAGGTAGTACAATCTTTAGTCCTAGAGCACCGTCATAGAATGAGATGAGAAACTTGATTAAAAAATTATGAAAACAAATCTATAATCTATAATATTATTAAAACCCAAGGGATTAACGTGCTGACGACATGTGTCATACTTTGTCATCATAAAATTTATGACATATCGCCACATAGATGATGACATGGCAACACATTAATATTTGGACTAGATTTGAAACATTACATCCCTTGAAATTCCCAACTTTTATTACCACTATTCCACAATTAATAACACTTTTTTACTTAATTAACATTCATATATGAATTATAACTTTTCATTAAGGATTCTAAAAGTTTGTAAGCATTATATACAATTCCCTACTTAATTGTAAAACAAAAACTACTACATCTCTCTTTATATCCCCAATTAACTTTACCATTTTAATTTGGAAAAATACACTTTAATAATCCCAACTATGGGCGATTTTCCTACAATAATCCCAAATAACATTTATTTTCTAATAATCCTAACTATGCCCTGAGTTTTTCTCTAGCACTCCCAACCGGTTAACGACCTGTTATAACAGGTACCATAACACATGTCAACACATGATTGGTTAATTTAAAAAAAAAACTAAAAACCATAAAAATATATATGTAAACCCAAAATCCTAGCCACCCTCTCCCCCACCCCCAAACCTCGCCGGAACCCTAACCACAACCCTCAATCTCGCCAAAAATCGGCTGGCAAACTACCGAAAATGGCCGCCCAGCCTCTACCACCCACCCCAACCCCTGAAACCGCCCAACTACCCCTCCCGACCCCCAAAACTATCATAAATATTGTGATTCTAGCGAGCCCAGCCTCGAATTCGACCACCTTTAAGGTCGTCACAGGTGTTGATTGGGTCTATAGGTTGAAGATGAGGTCGACGTTGAGAATTCGGTGGTGATGTGTTGGGGGCTGGTTGTTTTGGGGGTTAGGAGGCCTATCGGTTGGTGGTTTAGGTGTGACTGGTGGTTTTTTTGGGTTGGAGGAGGAATAAGGAGGGGGAGAAGTAGCAGGAAAAAGCGGTGGCGATTCAGGTGGGTGGCATTGGTGGTAGTTCTTCAGGGTGGAGGAGAGAGAAAGAGGCACGAGAAGGAGAAAGAATGGAGTTTTGTGGGTGTTTGTTAGCATGGGGCTGCGTTGCTGTGGTTGGTCGAGGCGACGGAGCCGCGATGTTGGGAGAAGATAAAGGGTAGAGCCGCCATGGCCTAGGGTTTCATGGTGGGTGTAAGGTGGCTGAAGGGAGGAGGGGGTGGCTGGATGACTTTTGATTTTATTTTTTTATATTAAGCCAATCATGTGATGACATGTGGCGTTTTAAAAAAAAAAAGAGTTTACCCTTTTAGTAGGTAATTGGTTTTTGGGATAGGTGGAGGAAAACTCACCTAATAGTTAGGATTATTAGAAAATAATTCTTAGTTAGGATTATTGTAGGTAAATCGGTAAAAGTTAGAATTATTATAGTGTATTTTTCCTTTTTATTTTATTATTTAAATTTAAGGTATTGGTTTCAAAATATTACTATATTTTTTTTGACACAACCAAAATATAGCCATTTATTAAGTAATCAAGTTCGAGAAATCATTACAAATCGCCTCTTGGATCTCAAGAGGGTACTCTTCTAACCAAATACGATGTTCGTTGAAAATACAACTAATATTAGCAAGGCTATGGGCGGCACCATTTCCCGAACGCTTGACGAAAGAGTAAGACACATTCTGGCATTCTCTTAAGAGCCTTAGGATATCACGCACCATATTACCAAAAGCATTGGGTGGAGTAATACCCTTCTTCATGTGCTGCAAGAGCTTAAGGTTGTCTGTCTCCAAAACCAAATTTCTGAAGTCAGCTTCCATTGCATAAATAACTCTTTATCTCATCGCCATTGCTTCCCCTACATCCACCTCGAAGCTCCCAACAACACACCCACAACATGCCATAAGCACATCCCCCATCTCATCCCTTAAAATGCCCCCAAACCCAATATTTTGCTGCTGCTCAAATATAGCCACATCCGAATTTAGCTTGCGAAGTCTAGCAATTGGAGCTTTCCAAATCGTTCCAAAAGGTGGAGGTGGTTTCCCAATCACAACCTGCTCTAGAGATTTTTCATACTCCCCAACGAGGCAAATTTCTTTATGGATGATTTCCGATTCTATTTTTCTCTTTCTTTCAAACACCCACGCATTTCGCCTCAACCAAACTCCCCACGCCAAACACCAGAAGATGTTCCACCAAGATTGGTCTTTTAGCTTTCCTCTCATCACGTTGCACCAGTCCCCAACCCCTTCATTACCTCCTAGTAAAGTGTCAAGGCGAAGAACAGAGTGCTTCCATATCGACATAACAAAGGGGCAGAACAGCAGCATGTGTTCATTTGTTTCTTCCTCCTCCCCACACATTGGACACCTTTAATTTGATCAATACTCATACCTCTAATTGCCAAATTTTGTATCACAAGTAGGCCATTTTTCACACACCTCCACGCGAACATTTTCACCTTTGGTGGGATTGGGGCATGCCATATCGATTTCCTGTTGAAATCCAATATCCCTGTTGAGGTAGTGGCTTTTGATCTTTCATCTTCCTCAATCATCATATGATAGGCACTTCTCACTAGGAGAGAGCATGGGACGGGTACCAGTTCCAATAACGTTATTGGTTCGGTTTCCCGATAACCGTTAAGGAGAAAACCGATACCTGAAACCGTTACGATAAGGTTCGGGTACCTATAAATTTGGGTACACAAATATACGGGTACCCGAACCAAATATCCGACCGGACCAATAAGCTTATTTTTTATTTTTTTGGTCCTTTTTATTTATTTAACACCTGCTTTACAATTGGATTTTAGATGCTTTTTAGTAATTTTTTTTACTAACTTTTTTGAACTATAAAAATTCAACCTGAATACCTTAACAGTACCTGAAAAAAATCCATAATAATAAATATAACCGCCTGTCCACCTGATACATAACCTAAAAAATAAATACATGAATTTTAAAATTTACAACCTGATGATAGGTTGATATTGAACCTGAATTACAAACGTACAGTTTCTTAAAAAAGTCCATAGATTTAAAAATAACAAACTAATACATAACCTTAAAAAAAGTCTGATTATAATTATAAAAAAAAAAAAAAAAAAACAACCTGAGACTTTATCACAATTGATGCCTTTAGTAATCAGAATTTAGAAAAAAACTTCAAGTCTTCAATAACTTCAACCTTTTGTAGTTCAATCACCACCAACCTTCATGCAATTGCTTTTAACAGATGTTGCCTCTAATCATCATCAACAAAGAGGGATTGTTCCTCACCAAGAGGTAACATTTCTTCAAAAAAAAAAATTGTAAGGAATAATTAACATATTTAAACGTTACTTGATTCAATTTTTTTCCATATCTTCAAGTCTCTCCTCAAGTATAAGAGGACCTTGAGATGTATGTAACCAATCTTGTGCACATATCAAGGCTTCAACCATCTTAGTTGAAAGTAAGCTGCGAAATGAATCAAGCACTCGACCACCAGTGCTAAAAGCTTATTCGGAAGCGACTGTTGACACAGGAATAGCAAGTACATCTCTATCCATGAGAGCTACTGTGGGATACCTTTCACCATATTTTTCCACCACCCCAAACAATCAAAGGTTTTACCGGCAGGATTAACTTCTCTATCATCTTCTAAATACTTGGCCAACTCACTTTTCCCTTGTACTCCAACACATGAACCCACATCCTTTTCCAACTCTAATTCCTCAATATCTATATCGGAATCCATATCTTCTACTTCCTCTGGCAAATCAAAATTTTTAGGGGGATTGGACTCATTCACAGGGTTTTAAGAAACATAAAGTTCATACATGTCATTCAGAGTTTGCATCACTTTAGCACACAAGTACTTAGCTTTTTCAGAATCATATTGTTGTTTAATTGCCCATGTTGTATATCCCATTTTCCGCCTAGGATTAAGAATGACAGCAATATACAACAAAAGATTCACATTATCAACATTTTCACAATATTTGTCATGCATTTTCTTCATTCCACTAGCCATTAAACTCACCCTCGCATCAATACCCAACACTTTTTTCTTGATTAACACACTAATCCCAACAAGTTCTTGTAAATACACATTAGAGGTGATATACAATGAGCCAGAAACTCGTAGAGTAGCATCATAGAATATTTTAAGAAAAGGAAGAAAAGAGGCAACACGATCCCAATCACTAGGTTCAGGCACCCCATCTGACTTATTTAACTCATACCTAAATTTACCACCATCTGAACATTCAAGCAAAACAAAATCCCTACGATATGCCAAAGCGCCTTCAAACATTAAATAAGTGGAATTCCACCTAGTTTCCACATCTAAACAAAGAAAACATTTTGACTCCAACTTTTCTTGTTCAACACAACTCATAATTTTTTGCAATCTAGCACCCGATGATCTTACATACCTAAGAGCACAATGAATTCTTTTTATTGACACATCATTTTCTTTCAATCCTTCTTTAACAATTAAACTTAATATGTGAGCACAACACCTCATGTGTAAAAACCGACCACCCAAAACTAATGTCTTCCAACTTTCAAACCTCCTTTTCAAATATTGAATGCCGACATCATTTGAACTTAAATTATCTACAGTGACAGTCATAACTTTAGGAATACCCCATTCAAGTAGACACTTTTGGACAGATTTACCAATTGTTTCACCAAAATGACCAGAAATTATACAAAAGTTAATAATTTTTCTGTGCAATTTCCAATTTTGATCAATAAAGTGAGCGGTTAAACACATATAATTCATATTGTGGCAAGAAGTCCAAGTATCAGTGGTGAGACTTATACGTGAAGTGCACTTGCTGAAAAAGCTCTTTAAACTTTTTTTCTCATCCAAATAAATCCTAAAACAATCTCTAGTCACTGTCCATCGAGAAGGAATAATGAAAAAGGGTTGTGTTACCTTCATGAAGTTGCGAAAACCTTCATGCTCCACCCGTTCTAAAAGACAATTCATCCATAATCACCATCTTTTCCAGAGCTTTCCTAATATCTTCTTGATTGAATTTCCACAACTCAAGTCAGCCTTTTTTTTATCCACTAGATTCGCATCAAGAGTTTGTTGACTAAGGGCCAACAGTTGCCGATTTTGATCAATGTTTGAGGGGTATTTCTTACACCACTTTATGTGGTTCTTCATGCCGGAGGTACCTTGAACTAACGCACAACCAATATATGCATGACAATAGATACACTCTGCCTTGTTCTCTCCATCCTTCTTTATAAAATGCTCCCAATGAGGAGAGCGTCTTTTTCTTGTCTTTTTTGAAGTTTCACTTAAGGGGGCAGCATCAGCACCTTCAGAAGGTTGGTTTGATTGATTTTGTTGCTCAGAGGGGTCATTATTTTCCGTCATTGGAGAAGGGTCATACTCCCAAGGCTCGGGAGGAGGACTTGGAATTGGAGGAGCTTCCCTTGTAGCCGATTAGTCTTCCATCTCCCCACTACTTCCAAATTCCATACACTCCTACAAACGAAAAAAAAATTCAATCATGTATACACAAAAAACAAGAAACACATCAATAAGCCACTAAGTTGGCAGATTAAACACATCAATAAGTTGGCAAATTAAACCAAAAAAATGGAAATATAGACCTATAAAAAGCTGCATTTGCACCTAAAGTCTGCACATAGTTGAAATATTGAATGTATACAGCTTATAATCTTATGTATACACTTCCAGACAAACACCTAGTTCAGCAACCCTACCATCAAACACATGCTTGCATATATCGCAAGTCAAGCTATGTCCCTCTTTTGATATAAATCAAGTCAAGGGAATAACAGTCATAAAGGCATAAACTCATATAAATTATCAATTACACAATGAATAACAGTCATAATAGTATAATACTCATGAACTCATACTTCGTATAAATTATCAACAAAGTTCCATGATTCCTTGTAACCAAAAATCTAAATTAACCATGATTTATTTTGCAATAAAAATTAAATAACAGGTAGCAATTTACAAATAGTTTAATAATCCACCTTGGCAATAACTTTAGCAATTTACCAATACTTTAATAATCCACTTTAGGAAATCCCTAAATTGACTACACTCAAATTAAAAGAAAAATATCTTACCTTAGAATGAAGCTGCCTCAAATCTCAATGGATCAGAGAAAGCTCACAAGTCGCTTCAATGGAGACTCCAGAATACGCTTCAATGGAGGAGAAATAGCCAAGCCGCTTCAATGGAGACCCCAGAACACCACGTTAGAGTATTAGACAACGGTGACCTGGTGAGGCCGTTCGTGAGCCGTGAGGATAACTGAGAAACAAAGTTAACAAATAATTAGAGGAAAAACTGAATTCATATATTGCAAATAATAAGATCTGGAAAAGGAATCATTACCTGAGATGAGAGAATAGACTTAGAGAACCAGAGAGGCAGATATGAGAGAAGAAGAGGAGGAGGAGGAGGAGGAGGAGGAGAGAGAGAGGGGGGTGGAGGCTGAGTGAGTGAGTGAGAAATGATATTAGGGATTTAGGGTTCGTTTCTTTTTGTTTGTCTTTTTTTTTTAAAAAAAAAGCACGGTTTTTTTCATAACTTTTCTATTTCAAGTTTTTTTAACAAAACTGACATTTATTATTTTCGTGAAATTCGGGTACCCAAAACGCCCGCTACCCGAACCGATAATTTCTTCACGGTTTGGTTACCCGACCCGATTCTATTAAATGGTTCGGGTACCCAATTTTTCGGTTCGGTTAAGGTTCGGTTTTTCAGGTTTTTTTGCTCAGCCCTACTTCTCACATTATAATGACCATCTTTCGAAAAATGCCATGACCACTTATCCTCCTCTTAAACAATTGGAATTGGTATGCAACTTATATCACTAATTTCCCTTTGAGTGAAAGGTCACGAAGCATACTCGTATTCCATTGCTTATTATTCCAGAGTTCACAGACATAATTTTGCACATTTTCCCCTTCTCCCCTTTCTGACAGAATCGAGCACTAGGGAGCTTGCGTGCCCACGGATCCCGCCAAATATTTATATTACAGCCCTTGCCAACCATCTTTCTTGTTCTCTTCTCAATCACACCCTTCACACTCAGAATAGACCTCCATGTGAAGCTCATATTTGCAACAGGTTTGACGTCGAAAAAATTCGAATGTGGGAAATAATTGCCTTTAAGGACACAAGCCATAAGGGATTGCTACATAGTTAGAAATCTCCATGCATGTTTTGCTAACATTGCCTTATTAAACATCTGCATATTTCTGAAACCCATGCATGCCTCCTTGATTTTTTACTCGGTAAAGTTTATTCCAGGAAATCCACGACGTCTTCCTCTCTTCACCTCTTTGCCCCCAAAAAAAAATTTCTACAC